TTGGGGGAGATGGATGGGTCTCTATTCTACAAAGAGCAGATATTCATCTTAACTATGTACAAAATATTTACAAATAATTAGGCGTGAACTGGACCGTAGTTGTTTTCCAAGTGTTTTGGAAGCAACTATATTACAGGTTACATTAGCAGAATATAAAAGTTACACGACTCTTTTTCCTTTTGTGTTGGGGGAGATGGATGGGTGTGGGTGGGTGTGGGTGGGTGTGAATGGGTGTGTTGGTTGCACACATGTGGGTACATAAGTGCTCACCCATGAATGTGCTTGTGGAAATTAGGACAGGACATGGTTTGTCTTCCTCCTTTTCTTAACACCTTATTGCCTTGAGACAGGGTCTCTCACTGAACTAGAAGCTTGCCTTTTTGGCTAAACTGGCTGGCCAGTGAGCTCTGAGCACTGTCTCTACCCAATGCCACTTCCCAATGCTAAAGATGACAGGCCAGACAGCCATGCATTTTGTGGATCCTGGGGATTCAAACTCGGGTGCTTATGTTGGCAGAGCAAGAACTCTCACCCACTGAGCCCTGTCCCCAGCCCCTCCGCCACCACAAAAGGGTTGTTAAACAAAAAACAAACCAAACCACTGAACTTCCAAGCCTTTAGTAGGACTGCTACACAAAACGTCACAATAAGCAAGGACGTTGATTACATAATGTCAAGATGTGGCCAAGGTTATATCCAGAAGGATAGTTCTACTATTAAATATGTCATTATTGCAAGTATAGAGAGAATTTAAATTAAGTGTCCAGCCTCAAATGTGAACACAAGAAATAAAAGTGGTCAGAACTAAGCACAATTAAATCTTATAATTTAATACATTAAAAAGTAAATAACAAATAAAAGAAACAATGGCTATAAATAAAGCCAAACACATCTTTGGAAAAATCATAGTAAGAACCAGATAAGTGTTTGGTAAAGCCAAATAACAAGTAGGCCACTGAGACAAGTTGAAAGGAGAACAGTGATAGGGAAAAAATGCAGAGAATCTTTCTGTTTAATTATAAAAATAGTGTTCCTACTTAAGCTTATAATCTCAAAAGGTCTACAGAATGAAGAACTCTCTAGAGGATAAAAGACTATTATAGATCATCAAAATGAATCCAAGAAGTAAAAAAACTATTCACAAGCTACCGATATAGAATTATCATAGTAATGACTAATAAATGAGTTACGATAACTCAAACCTCTATCCAAACATTGCCTGAGATTTCCCCCTCACAAATCTCAGAGCTGACTACTGGTGAATTCTTTAAAAAGATTTTTTTTTTTTAAGATTTATTTTTTTAAGTATATGTACTTGAAGAAGAATATGAGTGAGTATATACATATGAGTGTAGTGCCACCAGAGGCCAGAAGAGGGAGCCTAATCCCCTGGAGCTGGAGTTATAGGCAGTTGTGAGCTGCTCCATGTGTGTGACTGGAAACAAATTGCAAGAGTGATATGCACTCTACCGCATTGAGCCATTGCTCCAGCCACAGTAAATTCTTTCAAACTGCCAAATATCTGATATTTCTCAAGCTACAGAAATTATTCAAAAGCACTAAAAAGTGTAAAAAAAAATTACTCACATCTCTCAATGATGCAAGCTTAAGCCATGAGACCAAAACCTCACAAAAATAGCACCAACTGAACACGTCAAGAAGAGGCAAGAGTCCTTACATAAAATAGCAAGAAAAAGAAGGCAGTATATGGGAGAGACTATACATACTGAAGATGCTATGATGTTGAGACTGGAAAGATGCTCAGAAGTTAAGAGCACTGGCTACTCTTCCAAAGTACCCAGGTTCAATTCCCAGCACCCAAATGGTAGCTCAGAACCATCTGTAACTCCAGTTTTAAGGGATCCAACACCCTCTTCTGGCCTCCACAGGCACCAGGCACATACTCAATATATAGACACACACATGCAAGCAAAATGTTAAATTGTAATATAATACTTTTTAAAGACAGACGATGGTTCATCATTGACCTTAAGTTGCACATTTTTCACCTTCTCTGAAGAAGTGTCTTCCAATTCATAATGTCTTATAATCAATTCACATTTTTCTTTCTCAGCAGTAAACAAAATTTCTCAGTAGTGTACAAAATAATATGTGTTTTTTACAATCAATGATGTATTCATTTAAATTAATCTTGGTCATGGAAAAAACCTCATACTAAAAAAGGTTATTTAAAAAAGAAAGAAAGACAGAGAGAAAGAGAGAGAGAGAAGGAAAGAAAGAAAGAAAGAAAGAAAGAAAGAAAGAAAGAA